AATACTACCCCTCCGGATCCAAGGCCTCGTCTCCCTACGCCCTTGCTCAATCAGCCTCTCAATCTTGAGTCTATTCCCGACAAACTTCAGAATGGGATACCCCCGCTGCTGACCCTCGTGAATCATGCGCGCCAACCGCGGCGGGTCCGGATCCGAAAGAATATGCACGAAATCAGAAGGCACAGTCTTGGGCCAGATGGTGATTGTGCCGCTAAACGTCTGCAAAAACAGCTGCGACCAGTCCTGACCCAAAGGTCGGGGCAGCAGCTCGGCGTGGCGGATGAACTTGAGCCATTTCGTCATGTCGAGCTTGAGGTAGTGCTCCACCGCCGACATGACGTACCCGCCGCGCCAGCCTTTGCCCTTGCGGTGCGTGACGGGGTGGCCCACGGAGCCGCGCGAGGAGAAGAAGAAGAGGTTGATGTGCGGGTTGACCTGGCTGACAATCGTAAAGTTGACGTTGAAGTGCAGGTTGAGGGCTTTAATGGGGATATCGGTCCGCAAACTGCCGTCCTTCCACTTGTGCCCGAACGAATAGGGCACCAGCGTGCCGTCGCGCTGCTTCATCATCAGCACGACAGGATTCAGAATGCCCGGGACGGCGGCGGACGCCAGTACGGCGGACCAGATGACGCAGTCCGGACTGGTGAGGTAGTTGCAGAGGATGGTGGGCGAGTGCGGGTCGGCGGGCACGCACGAGACGTTGAGGATGCGGCCGGTGCGCTCGTACGCCTCCCGGAAGGTCATGGACCCCCTCGTCCACCAGCTGCACTGCTTGGCCCAGTCGACCGAGTCGAAGCGGGCGCCCGTCCTCCACCACCGCGGGATCCAGGTCCAGAACGTCTCGCGGCAGGCGGTGATGCGGTGCGCGAGTGCGGGTACGAGGAGCTGCCTCAGCTCGTCGTCCGTCCGGGTGGCCACGAGGGCCGCGACCAGGGCGCCGCCGCTGGTGCCGGTGATGACGTCCGGGAGCAGGTCCGCTTCGAGGAGGGCCTTGATGACGCCAAAGTGGTAGTAGGCAAAGGACGCGCCGCCCGAGAGGCAGAGGGCCGTCCGTCCGTAGTTTGCGTGCATGCCCTTGAAGATGGAACGCTTCTCCTCCATGGACAGTTGCTTCGTGCTCAGAATGAACTTGATGCTCCTCTCGACTGGAGGCAGTCAGTCAGTCACCCAGCTAGCATCTTGAAAACACCATGGGCAGATACATACCTTCGTCGATAAAGTTCTGCACCAGGTTCTTGGTGCCATAATACGTCTGGCTATACAGCCTGGGATTCTCAACGCCCACAAAGTTACTCTTCACACACGCCGACAGCAGCGCATGAAGCTCCTCAACAGCAGGCTTCCCCGACGCCTTGGGATCCGCCTGCGCTCCCTCATCATCCGTCTCCCCATTCTCCGCCGCCTCAGCCTTTTGCCTACACTTGCGCATCTGGTCCCACACCCTCTTGACCGTCTTGGAGTCGTAGTACGCGAAGTCGTTCTCCTCCTTCCACCGCTGCCGGTCGAGGTAGCTGTCCAGCTCCTTGGCCGCGACGACCCAGTCGCGGTAGTTATTCGTCCGGCGCATGCTCCGCCTCAGCCTCTCCCGCGTGCCGCGCCAGGTCACAAAGTGTTCGTACACCCAGATGTACAGCCGCGTGTACAGGTACGTGAGCGCGAGGCCCGCGAGCCAGGCGCCGACGAAGAAGAGCATCGGCCACTTGAGGAGCGCATAGAAAATACCCTCCCGCGTCTCGTCTTTCGTCCTGGTGCCCAGGAGCGCCTCCGCGGCCCCCTTGGCCCGGTTCCTCCTCCGGCGAGACCCCCTCTTTGATATCTTTTGGTTGACGGGCGCCCAGTCGTTCTGCGCCGTGATGAACATGTTGGACTGCGTCGCCGAGCCGTTGTTGTAAACGCCGCCGCCGCCGCCATTGGTATAAGTGTGATTCAACATCCCCGGACCCGGGGCCGTAACGTCGCCGGCAGCAGCCGCCGCCGCCGCCGCGACGGCCGACGGATCCTCCCTATCATCTTCGTACACAGACCCCCGCTTCGTGACGTCGAGCGAGCTCTGACTCCTGAGGCCGGGAGACCGGAGAGACGTGGTTTCGTCGGGTGACTGCAAGGGGTCGGGGGCCTGGAGGGCCTGTATGAAGGCGGCGAGGTCGGCGTCGCTGAGGAATTTGGTGTCGAACTCGGGGAGGCCGTCGGTGCTGAAGTTTTCGGGCGGGAAGCCGTAAATGTCTGTGTTGCTGCCGCCGCCGCTCGGCGAGGAGCCAAACGAAACTCTGGGTTGGTGGTGCTCAGCCATGTCTGCGGGCTGCGTCGTCTGACGGGTCCAGGCGCATGATATGGCGACACACCAGGAGGGAGAGGAGTAGTTGTAAGGCAGTCAACGTGTGAAGCTACTCAGGGGAACGATGCGTGGGAGAGACACGATGCTGAATGCTGATGAGCCTGGAGGAAGGGATGAATTTGGTCTCCGAAATGAAGAGGAAGCTCCAGTGGCGGCAGGTGTGTAAGGCGAGGTACCTCGAGGTAGTATGTGAATGCGGCGTAGTACGTGTAGCGTGCTGTGGTTGGGTGAAGCGTTACGTGAGAATGTAAGCGTCGGATAAGGTAGAACGTGGCTAAGGTAATCTGCAGATGGACGGGTGATTTCGGTGCATTTGTTGGGGAGGGAAGTAGAGATGCCTCGGGGTGGTGGTCTGGTCAGTCGCTCTCGGCCGGGGGAGACTACCACTTTCTGGCACCCAGTTCCCAGGTTGCTCTCGAGATGCGCAGACCTCCCTAGGGAATGCGCGCCCGTGATGCCACGGGTCGGATGACGTCGGCAGTAAGCTCGAATTGGATTTCGTTGGGGACCTCGGGGCGCCTGGCACCTTTGCTGTGTGTGTACGAAGTACGAGGTACCTACCTTGAGGTAAGTCAGGGAGCACTGGGGACTGTTGGCCGCTCACTAATACCACCCAACCCACGTCGGCTACTGAACCGTGAGATGTGGCAGGGGGCAACAACTTCCACTCCCTCAGGCCCCCTCAGGCCCCCTCCTGGTCACTTTTCTTCACTTTCTTCAGTGGATGTTGTACCTGAAATAAGGCACTCACCCACTCTAGCGGGATGCGGTGCAAGCAAGGCCACCTTACAGTGGGGTGTCAAAGGTTCGTGTGCAGCGCACAGTATCCCGCAGAAGTACTACTTTTCAACAGCGAATAAAGCGTTAAATATAATAAGAAAAAGAAATTAAAAATTACTATATAACTAATTAGCTATTATATTAGTATATATCTAAGTTACACTATGTTTTTCTCAATTATCAAAGCGTTAAATAAATCTTTTAAAAAATAGTTTTTAAGAGATTTTTATTATAGTAGATTATACGGCCTCTTAAGTACGAATAGCACTGTACTTCTTAGTAAATTCTTTTTTATTTTATATTCTACTTTTATATTATAATATAAAGTATTAATATAATATATTTTAAAATATATAAAAAATAGTTTTATATACTTTATATACTAAAGTATTTTATTAAAATTTTAAATTGTATTATTTATACCTAAGTTAGAAAGATATTTATAGTAATAAAGAGACGTAGTTAGTGGGCTATAGGTGACGCACTGGGAGGGTGTACACGAACTTTTGACACCCTACTGTAGTTCCCACCACCACCACCTGTTCGACTAACACCAACATCTGGTTGCCTGTCTGCCTGCCGATACTACAACCATGATGTAGGTAGATGAAAAGTATAAGCATCGAGTTATTCTATCAAAAAAAGGTGTTATCATAGATGTAAGTCAAGATCGCCTCGGCACCTTGGGACAAAATCCCACAAGGCCGCCCGCCAACGAGCCCCTCAAGTTCCCATCCGGACCGCCCGTCTCACCGTCTCCGCCTCTCCGGAATCCCCTCGGGAAGAATGTCACCTCACCTCGCCGGTGGCCCCTCGACCAAAACGGCATACCTATGTCTTTGTCCCTGCATGGCTGGCAAGGCTGAGAGGGAACGCAGCAGTGGCTTTTCGATGAGAAGCATCTGACAAAATATGACATGTGTTGACTTACCTAATGTACTCTACACCAGGGCCCAAAGATACTGAATCATCTAGACGTCAGCGTATGTAATACACAACAAATGGATACCTAGGGATATCAAAAATCTTGGAACTGCGCAGTCGGCGCGGCTGCTGGTCTCGGGGAAAACAAACTACTTGTGGCTTGTGAAGATGCTAAAAAGAGCATCGCCACAACTCTCTTCTCCGCCGGCCTGACGTAAGGCATCATATGTCTACCATCAAGCATCCCGCCGTTTCCCGCCGCCCCTAACGGAACGGAACCTTGACGACGTGGACACGGTGGCCTTGGTCACCGCCACCACATCATCACTACAAACAGCGTCCTAGGAAAATCCCTTGATACGCTCAGCACAACCATTTGATGCCTTTGCAGTGCCATACTCCTCCATGATCCAATCATCTTGATGTCAATGTTGTTGATGCAGCAGTAAATCTACGCAGAGCAGGCTAACGATTTGAAAGACGCAAAATAAACCAGATTCCGAATCCCTGGGCCCCAATGAAGAATTCTAGCCTAACAAGCGTACACAATTGCCTCGTCTCTGGCCTTAAAGCTGGATGCCTCGACCAACAGTACTGACTGACCGAGCAGAGCCATCTGGACCGCCAGACCGAGGACTTTTTCCCTTCCTCCGTGTGTGTGGACCGATGCAAACATGCCCGATAGCAGCAGTGTCGGCCCATTACGCAGCTCTTTCTAAACCGTTTGTTCCCCCTAGGATATCAGATTTCGCAAGACGCCAAAGAAGGGGGGAGCCCTTGTTCTGTTGAACACCCCCCCTCGAAGCACTTGACCGGAGCTTTCGTAGACGTGGCACCCATGATTTCGTTCCCGCGTAGACGTTCCCTATTGCCATTCTTGCCATATCGTCCATGTACTTGCTCCGCTCCCGCCGTAGACACCTCCCGCGAGCTCCTTCCAGAGCTGTCGGTTCGGTGTTTAGACGTACTGCGAGAGCCACCGGATACCGTCACCGTATCCTGTTCTCAATGTTAGCCAAAATGCTCTGCACCCTTATCTGCCATGTTTCCGGGGAAAGCAAAGAAACGCACCTTGTCTGAGGACAACGGAGCACATGAAGACCTCGATAGGTCGGATTCCCTCCAGAGGCACCTTGCCCTTGCCGGTGGTCTGATACATGCCGAGCTGGTGACGGAGCTCCTCCTCCGAGATGGCGTCGGGGTGGTCAATCTTGTTGCCGAGGATGACAAAAGGCACCTTGGCCAGCTCCTCCATGGACAAGAGGGCGTCGAGCTCGGCCTTGGCCTCGGGGAACCGCTCGTGGTCCTTGGCATCGACGAGGAAGACGATGCCGTTGACTTCGGGGAAGTAGTCCTTCCACAGGCGGCGGGCCTGCTGATGACCGCCGAGATCGAAGGTGGTGAAGCGCACGTTGCCGATGGCGAGCTCCTCGGAAGCTAGAGGCCGGTTAGCTTTCTGGACACGTGCGCAGAGCAGAGACCCCCCATGTCACTGGGCTCTTTTTGCCGCGGAAGAGATATACTCACTGGGGTGAAGAGTAGGCTGGAGGATAGCGACACGGTCGTTCTGATCACCTTGTTAGCAGTCGTTCATACCATCCATATTGTAGCCCAAGACGATCCCATATCGGCGCATCCGACCTCCAGTAGGCTCGTGGTATCTGTCGATGCGGGTAAAGCTGGCGGGTGTTGGGGCGATCATACCTTCAGCATGTGCAGGAGGGTGGTCTTTCCGGCATTGTCGAGGCCAAGGAAAAGAAGCTTGGCATGCTTGTTGAGCAAGCCGAGGCTTGAGAGGACGTCGTAGACTAGAGAAGAGAGAGAATACCAGTCAGTCTGTCATGGTCCAACCAGGGATGGATGATGGGCCACACAAGCTACGGCGAAGGCGGCGCGCAGAAGATTAATCCCAGGTGGTGGAGGGGCATCAAGCAGAGGCAGGAGATGAGGGAAAAGGCAAGATACATACACCAGTTAATAATCCACATCTTGACGACGAAGGAGCGAGATTATTGTCTGTATTGTGAGGGTGGTTCGTGGATGACGGTGGAGTCGGTAGGTTGAGGTCGGGGAGGTTTCGATGTTCGGGCTTTTGCTCCCAGGAGACAAGGCGGCGGCGGGCGTGTACGAATGGCGAGGTACCAAGGTCTGGACTGGGCGGGACGGGACTGGCTGAGCTGGGGGCCACCTTACACAGTAGGCTTGGTGGGCTACCAGGAGAGATGGGAGCTGAGTCGGAGAGTCGGGAAGACAGCAAGACAGCAAGTGAGTGAGAGGTGGTACGTGCTGGCTGTTCTGGCTGGCGCATTTGCTGTTGCGAATTGCAGTGTGTTGAGGTGGGTGTGCCTTAAATCTCGGGCTGCCACGTATCGGAGATGCTCCACAGATGCACCGAGTGCTGTCAACTGCGGTCTGGGAACTGGGAACCTGCAAAGAACAACGGAAAGACGCAAAATGCAACAAAAAAAAAAGAGTCTGGGAGTGTGTCAGGGCGAAACGAAACTCTTTGCCATCTCTTTTAGGAAAGGCTTCACTACTTCACCAGAATGAAAGCCCGAACAGCAGTGTCAGGTGAATAAAGTCAGGCCCATATTGCCCTAGACGCTTGAGTCCTGGGGCCTTTGGTGTGAACAAACACGTAGGTAGTCAGGTTAAATGAGAAAGAACACCTTTGCGAGTGCTTAACATGATGAATTACGCCTTCTGACTGAGCCCACAACGCTTTCCCTGGGCTACATACTATTTCACTGCATATCCTCGATAAGTTAAAAGGTCACATGACAGAGGAACAGAGTATTGGAGGTCTGCGATATCTCGCAGGAATGCAGTTGTTGATCAGGCTACCTAATGCTATGTGTTTGCTCGACAACCATACAAGCCTTCATACACGCTATTCCAGGGGGTATTCGTGCTCCAAGTCCAGATGCCGCTGGACTCCCAAAATGAGGAAGAAAAGAAAATGAAGCGAAAGTCCATGTAGGCACAGAGCCCTCGTCCATCGAGGACGCTCCGGTATAAAAATGTGATATCTACAATCCAAGAAAATAAAGGACGTGGAAAATAGTCTCATATATGTCATGAAGTCCACCATGCAATGCACCATCCGATGCTTAACGCCGTGCGAAACAATTCTTGTGGTCTCGCTGTAAATGCAAATCAAAAACTCCGCCCAATGTAGTTGTAGGCACCTCTCTAAACAGAGAGGACGTAGTTGCCCTGGTCGATCTTGCCGGCCATGAGCAAGCCCAATTCCCTCATGCGCTCACAGCCGAGGCCGCGCTGAGGCTTGCGCTCGGGGACTTGTCCCTTACGAGCGCGGTTGCAGTACTTTTGGTAAAACTTTTCCTTACGACGCTGTCGCTTGCGCTCCAAGCCCTTAACGATGTCGATGGCGCCGCGGATATGCAGATCGTTGGCAGGAGCCTTGGAGCGACGTCCCTTGGCCATGTGGGGGAACATGGAAGGAGGACGGGGAAGAGACTTGGTAACGGTGAGACCAGGGCGAGATGCCAAGGTCTTGAAAGTAATAGCGCCGTGTCCATTGCGAGGAGAGGCGGGAGGAGACTTCAGCATCTGAGGAGCCGGGGATCTCAGGCGACGGGGGGAAGGACCGTCAAAGAGGCGGCGAGGGGAGCGGCCACGGTTCTTGGGAGCAGGAGAGGCACGACGCTTGACGGGCGGGGGAGAGTGGAAGCGCTTGGGAGGAGTGTGCTCCGCCTTCTTCTGGCGACGGCTTCGGTCGTTCTTGTGGTGCAGATCCTCCATCTTGCCGTGGAAGAACATCTCGTCATCACTGCTGTGGTGGACGGGGTTGTAGATTTCTTCCTCACCCTCGTCCTCTGGGTCCGAAGCAGGAAAGCTGGGGTCGATGTCCTGGGGAATCAACTGCAGCTTCTCGCGTCTGCGAGCGGCCAAGCAAGACATGTAAGCATCTTCCATGGGACGGTCCTCATCGAGAGTACCGCAGACGAAGTCAGTGCTGTCGGGAAGCTCAGGTGTGCCAGGGCGGATCTTAATGCGCTGAGCCCGGCCACGTCGGGCGCGGAGGCTGCTGTGAGAAGCAATGGACGAATCTGAAAGCTGCTCAGGCAGGGAGGGTCTGCGGGCGATGGGAGTGCTGTCGATGTTTTGAATGGTTGAGCGGCCGGGAGTCCACAAGCGGAGATCATCGTCTTCCTCTTCCTCCTCGGAATCGGCGAATCCGGTTTCCTCGTCCGTCTTGTAGCCATCGGAATTGTCATCCTCATCAGAAGCGTCATCCTCATCTTCGTCCTCATCATCTTCATCCTCCTCGTCGTCGTCCTCGCAGTCATCTTCATCGTCGTCGGCGTCTTCAAGGTTGTCGAGGTCCTCATCATCGTCAATGGCGGTAGCCAAGTCCTCCTCCTCCTGCTCGGCCTCCTCTTCCGCCTCAGTAGCAAGCTTACGAATGGCGTTCTCCTTCTTCAGAGTGTCGTCAATGGTAATGCGACGTCCCTGGGATGAAAAGGCCTGACGGATCCAGTCGTCCTCGCGGGGAATGTCGCTGGCAAACTCGTGGAATTGAGACGACTCGTTGTTCAAGTCGGAGGGGTTGGCGGTGATGTACTTCTTGGTGGTAGGAGACTTGACAGAGACGTCAACCTGGGGAGGAGCGAGGGTGGGTCTGGGAGACCTCGAACGGGTCTTGCGAGCTGTCGCCGGCGCAGGTGCTTCAAGTCTGGCGGCTGCCATCTCCAATCGCTGGGGAGGCGTGTTTTGCGTTGAAGCAGGACGCTGAGGGACGGGGCAGGCGAACTTGATGCAAGATCTTCGCTGAGGCTCCTGGGCAGAAGGTGCCTTGACCATGGGCTGGCTGCGGATAGGCTCAATGGGTTTGCTGGGCTTCGCCGCGCAGGCGAACTGGATGCAACGCTTCTTTGGCGCCTCCTTGGCAGGCTCGTCGTGGATGTTCAGAAGACGCATCTCGGGAAGAGGCGGGCTAGGAGTGTTGGCGCGGGACGGGCTGGTCAAGCCAGTATCGCTCGTCAAGTCGGCAGTGGAGGCCAAGCTGATGTTGCTGGCCATGGAGCGACGACGAGCAAAGAAGGACATATCCGGGCGGGCCTCGGGGTCCTCATCTTCGGAAGGGCTGTGGAGCGCCTTGGTCAAGAGAGAGGCGTTGTGGTCGAGGGTAGTGCGTCTGATAGGGTTCCGCTTGAACATGCTGGTGATGGGAGAAATGGGGAGTTGCGTTTCCGGTGGCTCATCGACGTCGGCGGACTCGTCTTCTACCATGGAGGGCATATTTGCGCAATGTGTTGACCAGGCCAGGACGTTTGACGTCGCAGCGTCGTGTTGTGTTGTTCGGTGCGTCATGGTGGAGAGATGTGATGTTGGTCGAGGTTGGGTGCAGGGGGTGATTTCGGGCTCTCGGCTCGAGGTGTGGCGAATGGTTGATAATTCCAGGCCAAGTCGTTCAACGATGCTTCTAGCAGGCGCAACCGGTCGAAGATCGACTTCGTAAGAGCTGTTGGTAGTAGTAACAGCTGTAGTAGTAATGGCGAGATTGCTTGCGAGAAGCTTCTCCGAGTAGTGGTGGTAGTTGGTGTTGTTTTGTTGTATGGATAGGTTGATGAGAGGGGGTGCCCTCAAGAGGACGTGCAGCTGAAGATCGTCTCGAAAGACAAGTGCTGCAGATCAAGTCGTGTCCCTAGGGACCGTTGTGCTATAAGAACAGAACTGACATCTCGAGGAAAACAGTTGATGTGTGTAGTAGTGGTAGTTGCCGGGGCAGATGAGGGAGATTATAGGATGACCGGGCGTTGCCTCAATGTGAGGCGCGGTAGTGCGATGATTCAGGGTCCTTGGGGGTACGAGAATAACTAAATCGGCGTGCGCGCAGATCCCAGATGAGAAGAGCGAGCGTGAGTGTGGCCGTGGACGGGTGGGCGTGGGCACAAGGATTGGTGTGTGTTGGGCGAGCAGATGACGTCGGGCCTAGCGTGGCGCAGGGAAATGGCGAAAACAGACGGAAAGGATGGTAGACTCGTAGAGTATCCGTACCGTACGTGTGAGTGATGTGAGGGAAGGGAGAGAGAGAGGAAGGATAACGGGCGAGAGGGCGCTGGGATAGATGGTCGGACAGCGAGGAACTTTAACAGGTTCCGGGAGTATTCTTGGCAGTTGGAGGACCAAGGTGGGATGAAATTCAGGATTTTCAGAGGCTGAGGGCTCGAGCGCTCTTGTCTCCTTTGCCGATGTGTGCGTCTGCTCCGTACGGCGGGCAGTACGGTAGAAAGGTACGGGTACCCAGTGTGGATACGTGGTCGAGTATTGAGCTGGGGGAGACCTGACTTGTTGCTGCTGGGACAGGTTCTGGGAAGACCTGGGAGGAAAGGCGACCAAATAGGTGGCGACGAGTAGAGGCCGTGACTAGGGGAGGTCAGTTGGCCAGTTTTCTTTGGTCAAGGGCAGGCAAATCCCTTTACCGCCTTGTTGGTGCTGCCGTTGCCGCGGGAGGTGTAGACGGATGTGGGTGTGGAGCGTGGAATGTGGTGCGGGCCCTGAGAGGTGTGTATGTAGGTGGTAGGGTAGGTATTTTGTCCGTGGTGCTGGTGTGTGTGTGCCTGTGTGGTGTGGTGTGGATGCTTCTCGTTTGCTAGAAGACCCGAAAGAAGAGTTGCGGTATTACAGCTCCAGTCAGCTCAGCGCGCGACGAGGAGGTATCGGACAGCGGGAGCTTTTCGTGGAAGCAGGAGGTCGGGAGAAGCGTCTGACTGAGAGGGGAAGAAGTGGGCGCGAGGTGGCTGATTGATTGATGGACTGATGGATGATTGAGAGACCCTCCTAGAGAAAGGGAGACAGGGCGAAGAGGAGAGGAGGATATCCGTAAGCGGGCGCGCGCAGTACGCAGCATGCAGCTCAGTATGCGGTAAGAGTGGGTGGGCTGTTGACTGGGTGCGTGGGATTATGGATATCCGTCTGGCCAGGAGAGACTCGCGGGCGTTTGGTCGCGGTGATTCTCTTG